CCCAAAATCACTGTGTTTTGTGTGTGTAAAGTGCCATCAAGTCGCAGCCGACTTATGGTGACCTCAGCAAGGGGCTTTCAAGAAATGTTATTAAGAAGTGGTTTGCCAATGCCTTCCTCTGCAGAGTCTTCCTTGGTAGTCTCCCATCCACCTTGCTTAGCTACTGAGATCTGACGAAATCGGGCTACACCATGCCGCCTCCTCTCCCCCACGACGTTTGCGGAAGGCAGAAACACAGATGCACAAACAGAATGCACAGGTCCCTTCAATGGCTGAGAGCAAAAGGAGATTAGTTTGATGGACTACGAGGCAAAGAGTCTCAGTTACCCAGCTTGGCTCCCATTGCTAAGTACCCCTTTTTCCCTGCAAGTATGAAAGACAAATAGGGTTGTCAACTCCTAACTGGGAAATTCTTGGAGATTTGGGGGTGGAGCTTGGAGAAGACAGGGTTTGGGGAGGGGAAGGGCCTCAGTGGGCTATAGTCCCATCCAGTCCACCCTCCAAAGCGGCCATTTCCTCCAGGGGAACTGACCTCTGTCGTCTGGAGATCAGTTGTAATTCCAGGAGATCTCCAGGCCCCCTTTGGAGACTGGCAACAAACTATGTCTGGGCCTACCACAAAGAAAACGGTTTGCTACGGCGTCTGAATGTGGCCAGTGTCGTATCAGGCAACCGAGTCACTAGTTCAGTCCCAAAGAAGGCCCGTAGCCAGGATGTTTTTTGTTCAGAGGCATTTAAATTTTTAAGGGGGCAGTTAAATTACAGTTAATTAAATTAATCTGAATGCCTGTCTTTAAAGGGAGAGGATCAAGCCTGTTTCTAGCCCTTCCTTTCAAGGGACGAGGCAGCGAGTGCATCCAGTTCCTAGGGGGAAAACTGCCCAGAGGGCATTTCATGGCCTTCAGAAGACATTTAAATGCTTTTTGAGTCTCCTCCCACAGGGCAAGAAAACTTAAAAGGGCACCTTCAATACATCTCCAACCCACCCCTCTTTGTGCTAGCCTAGTACCACCTAGGTCATGTGGGTCTAGGATATCAGAAGCAGACTGTCAGATGATTGGGGGATCAGCTGGTCAAAAATAAAGTTTCTGGCTTTTGTGGGTGAGGCTTTTAATTAGGGGGGCAGAGCCCTGAAATGCCCCACTGTAGCTATGGGCCTGGTCCCAAAGTTTAATTTTTTAACCATTAACATGCAGAACTGGTGCATCACTCAGTAAGTCACAAGAGGCCCAAGCCTAACCTTCCTACTATTTCCTGTGCTCTCAGAGGACAATTTCACATCAAAAAAAGCTTTCAGCTCTACAGTTTATAGCCACTGCTGTACCCAAGAACCCTACAAGAGACTTGCTACTATAGTGTGATGACTGCAGGAACACTGCCTTAAGGGTGCTATTTTTTTTCTACAGAACGTTCCATACACTTCTATACTTTTAAGTTTACTTTTAATGTCCCAACAAAAGTCCCAAAGAAAGAACATCAGTTTGCCTGCACTTCTCACAGCAAATCCTTTGCAACTGCAAAGATTTGATCAGATTATAACTGCTGCAGGTGTGTTTGCAGATCATCATATATGAAGCTGCCTTAAATACATTTTTGTAGAAAGGCTGCATGTAAACTCCATAAATATATAACATAAACACTGTCCAGTAATGGGGGACTCACTAGAATTTTAGGGTACTTCCATTGACATATTCCAAGTGAACACTTACCAACAGAAAAATATTATTCATGTCCCATAACAAATAAATAGTAATTATTTATGGAAATGTACAAGATGTACATTTAGGTTTCAAACATGCACAGCTGTTAGTCTTCTTGTATATGGAATTTTGTACATAATCTAATACCGAGTATCAAATGTCTAAAATCCCCCCCTTTTTGGGTGGGGGGCTGCATACACCCACCCACACCTCAGTTTCTAAGTTCTTGAGATGATGGAGGGCACTGTCCACAAGCGGACAATGAACTTTTGCCCTGCACACCTCTTCTCTTCTGTTTGTCTGTTAGGGATTGAGGAATTGTGCTGTTCTGGAACAGCTGCACTCTCCCAAAATGAGCAAATTTGCAACTTATAGATGCTGTTAATGTCCTTGGATGGAGGCTCAGGTATCCTTTGTGGTACACATCGTCCCTAACCAGCTTTGGCTATTGCACCAACTATGACCGCTTTCTGAGAAGCACAATTTGGTCATTGTTATCCTGTTCAGAAGCTTGAATTGGTGCAAAATGTGGCAATTGTTGACCAGTATTAATCAAAGGGAATGCATGTTGCCTGTTTCTCAGAGAAGCCTATTCTCTCCCAGGCCCAATTGAAAAGTGATGATCATGATCTCTAAAGCCCTGAATGGTCTGGGAGCAGGACATCTGTCTGCTCAGTTGTTGTGGTCCTTCTGGAAGCCACTGCTCCAGCCACACCAGCTTCTCTAATGGAGGAAGGCAGCTGCAGGGGACACCACCTTCTTGGTCGTGGCCCTCCTTACCTCAGTTCACAGGGCACGCAGCCTTCCCAGTTTTTGGCATAAGGCCTAAACTCGCCTCTTCTCTCAAGTCATTCTGTTAACTAGCTATTTAAAATCCTCTCCCACTGTGAGTTTGTGTACCTGCTTTTATCATATACGGGATGCTGCTTGAACTGCTGGTTTTGAAGTGCTACTTGCTTTGTGTATGTGTGTATAATAATGCTGTTAGACCTGCTGCTGACTTTACTGTGTTTTTTTTCTTTTTTGTTGTATTTTCAAGCGAGTTTAGAGTATGGTATATAGATGCTTAAAATGAAATAGTCGTATTATGGTCCTTCATCAACTACTAATGCCCATCACTTAGCCTTGTCTTACTTTATGGTACTAAATAAATCCCACTGAGGTCAAACGGAAGGTAACAGAAGCACATTTATTTAAGGTGACTTCTGTTTCACTGAGCCACAGAATAGTCTCAGCACCAGTTACAGGATTCCTCGAACGCCTCAATGTGCAGCAGCACAAGCCAGCAAATAATTAACTACTAATTTTCCCACTACGACTCATTTTGATTTACTTGTTTTATTTACCCAGATGCTTCTTGCACGGATCCTGTTTTATACAGTTCCTTGTCTTTCACTTCCAACAGAGGATCTGAGGGGCTGGAAAGGACAAATTAGTAGTCCTGACTTCCAAACAGCAGCAGTTGTCTCAGTTTGTTATGATTTAGGACAAGACAGTTTGGCACTCCAGTCCTCCAAATACGTTCAGTTGCTCACACCATAAGAACTTAAGGAAAAAATAAATGAAGGCTCTTTATGTTTGCTATGTACATGGGGAGAAGAGGACATCTGCTATTCACCAATCACGATCTGGTAGCCCCACTGGAAGTGAAGAATTAGACGTCCAGCTCTTTGTTTTCAAAAGTACATTATACGGCTTCTAAGACCCAACATGATATGGACTGGTTCAGTCAAGGAAGCCAGAAAGGCCTTCAGTTTGTAAAACCTGAGCAAGGACGTTAATGATGGGATGTTTCTGAGGTCATTCATTTATAGGGTTGCCATAAGTCAGAGGCAACTTGACGGCACATAGCGCACACATGTGCACACACGCAAAGCTAGAAAATACAGCAAAACATTAAACACCAGGAAAGCTGGTAGGGAATGCAACAGTATGAAACTAAGCATGTGTGCTACAACTACCCTCCCCACACACACATACACTGCAGATGTACACTGTGTATCGTGCGGCAACCGCTCTAATACTATAGTAAAACAGTATTCATGCTTGCAGACAACATTCCTGGCCACTGTTCCACTGTCATCTTCTTTTCTGAGAAGTTTGACTGTGTTTTTTAAGTTGTGGGGAAAATAATGAGGCCAGACTCTCTAAGACAAGCTTTCAGCAAAAGATATGTTCAATATTGTCCAAAGCAGGATAAGACAGAAAACCTTATTAACACTCTTAAGGGGGGAAAAAAATTCTGGCCGGCTGAAGCCATGAGGCGAGCAAGTTAAGACTTCTTCCTGTCTCCCCCACACCTGCTACCCCTCAAAACAGCCTCTTAGAATACCATTTCCCCTTCCTAAGCCCAACCTGAGATCTCTGTCAAATGTCGCCACACAAACATCTCTCTGTCACAAAATACATTTTACAAGGTGTCCTAGCCAAACTCCTCAATGGCATCCTTACAGAACTGGGCAGCTATATACTTCTTATTCAATACAACTCATGCTTCCCCACACATTAATTCTTTGAGCATAACATAAAATGGCTTGACTCGGTCTGTCTCAGGCACCACTAATCAAATATCACCCTTTAAGCCCAGCTTCACTTAATAAGGCTTTGATTTTCAGCTGGCCCTTCTAGGCCGTGTTAAACAATATATACAAATTTCATTTATAAAACAGGAGGTATGCGGTTAAAGAGACATATATTTTAGACCTTTTAAAAACAAATAAATAGATAACCAGTTTAGAAGGTTAAAAGGTTAGACTTGAAGTACAAAAATAAACCTCAGACCTGGGTCACCTAAAGTCTAAGGCTTCCTTCCAGCAAAAGCATTCACAGACTACAGCTCACTTCTTCAGATACAACCTGGCTTGCCCTTGTTTCTAGAACAGACCTGGCATTCCACAGCTTATTTCAGTTACATTCTTCCCCACATAGTGAAGTATAAAATACATTCAGGCTTTATTTATCGGTGAACCAATTACGCTCCCATTAATCATTTCCACCTTCCATTCAGGCAAATTGACTGAGCTGCAAAAGAAAGTTTTCAGGGGTTTTCAGCTTTGCGTAACAGGATTTGTTTTCCCAGCAAATGAAACATTTAAGGGCAAAACACAGGATATTACACACTCAATTTCCCTTTCTTCACAGCATACAATCAAGCAAGAGGGCTCAGCTGAATTTATTAACCGAGTCAAATAGCACACAGCCATTTTTGTTTTTAAAATCCAACAGGTACACCTAATCTTCTGTTAGAACAAACACAGCTCATTACAGAAACTTCCCTGAATCAAGTTAATCAAAGATTACCTTGTTCTAAGTTGCTTGTAGGGTCCCAAAAGCCAGACAGTAGAAAGAAATCCAAGAGTTTTGTGCAGTTAAAATGGCTACTGTAGATTGGGGAAGTGGTGTCTGTGCTTCAGTTTATGAGTCATACATGAAACTAAGTGTTTCTCAGAGAGGCACGCCCAGGTTGCTGTGGGCCCAATTACTCCACCAGGTCAAACATGCAAATATTCAGGTAAAGGGGGGGGGGAGGAGAACAACCTGAATCAACCAGCCACACCTTAGCTAGCAGGAGCAAAGGCCGAGCATTCTCTGCCGCAGAGCAGAATACACAGACAAATGGCTAGAGCAATTTTATGCTGGACTCCTCTTGCTCCTTGTTATGCAGGCTCCTCTTGCACTTTGTCAAATAAATGAAGCATTTCAGTGTTCAGAAAAGTTGATGATCAATCACACACTAAAGGAGTTCAGCACAACTTTGTGAAATTATTGTTAAAACTGATGTATTTCTATATTCATTTCAATTAAACTGTAAGGGAAGTCATGAATATCTGTCACCGTAGTAATTTCACTGCTGAAGCCTAACTGTGTATGGGAAAACAGGAAATCAAATTCTGTTACAGCCTTTCATACCTTTTCTCTAACAAGACAACTTGTGATTAGTCTCCTTTGTCTGAAATGAAGGCTAGCAGGGAGAGCCAACAGAAAGTGGAAAGTAGGGGTTGGGTCAGGGTCTGGAAGGAGGACTGGCATCAACGCCACATGCAGACTGGCTGGGATGGCCTCTCCTGCCATGTGGCAGGAGAAGCTGCTGGCCCCATGATCTGGCACAAACACCAGAACGGAGACCATCACCAACAGGTGATTCTGCCACCTGAAAAGTCCAGCCAGGAGGAAAAGCAGTAGCAACTGCAGACCACCACCGTCCCTCAGTGAGCCAGAAGCTGGAGGGAAAGCGGAGCAGCATCAGCTGCTATAGCTCCTACTTATCCCGGAAGAGCCAGGCTACAGATGGCCAGCAGCTCCCTCCTCCCTTTCTTTCCTCTACTCCAGTGACGTAACAGGACCATCATCAGGAGCAGGATGAGGCCAGCCAGGTGAGCTGTGCAGCTAGGAGGAGGAAGAGCAAGGAGGAGGAGGAGGAGGAGAGTGGCGCCAAGGTCTGCTACGGGTTTCCTGCATGGGCTCCCTAAACACCAGCCCTGCCTAACACCTTATTGGCCAGCACAAGAACACAAGAGCCCTTGGGGAGCCACAGAGGGAAGTTTCAGAAAGAGAGGTGATGGTAGCCTTTCTTCACTTTGATATGAGGATAGAATGATAACCACATCCAGGGGTTAATTTCTGACTCTGAAAAGTTCCGGAGGTTTATTTCTACTATCAACTTACATCAAAGGCTTGCAAAAAGTGGCTACTTACTTAGCCTTTGTCCTCATACAAGTCCATCCTAGTCTCCTCCTGTCCTGGAGAAGGGGGGGGGGGGGGAGGAGGACTATGCACCAACCAATGTTTGCATTAGGGTTGTGCATTTTTTTTAATCAGTATTTTCCAGTTCAGGTCTAATGGACCCGAAAAAATTCGGTATTTGTGAAAAATCACAGATCCCAATACCAGTACGGTATTCAGATCCAGGATTTTTCGGAAATCCCAATTTTTTTTGGGTCCAATAGACCTGAGAAGAAAAATACCGGGGGTGGGGGGGGAACAGTCCGATCCTGGGGTGGGTTTGGCCTATCCTGGTTTAAACTGGCCCCAAGATCTGTGTGCCATGGTTAAGTCTTTCCCCACCGCACACAGATCCTGGCTGGGAGGGCTTCTCCTGCAGCGCAGGTTTAAACCTGGTTGCAGAAGAAGCTGGCCCCATGATCTGCATGCCACAGGGAGGCCTCTCCCCACCATATGCAGACTGGCTGGGATGGCCTCTCCTGCCATGTGGCAGGAGAAGCTGGCCCCATGAACTGCTGTGCCGTGGCTAGCAGATTGCTCCCTTCGGCACAGCAGCTTCTGGGGCTGGCTTCTCCTGCAGCCCGGTTTAAACTGGGCTGCACTGGAAGCCAGCCCCAAGCCCAGCCGGTGGGAGCAGGCTGCTCCCCCGGCACAGTTGATCCTCAGGCTGTCTTCTGCAGTCCCTTTAAACTGTAAAGCGACTGCAGTAGAAGCCTGACAAACAGCTGAGAGGCAGGAGCAATGTGCTCCTGCCTCTCCACTGTATTAGGATCTACTGGTAATTCCTGAATATATCTGGGATTTTTTCTGGGATTTTTTGTTTGTTTGTTTGTTTTTCCTAGGAAACCTGGATACATTTGGGAAGCCAAAATATACTTTTCGCTTGGAGAGAGCTGAATGCACACCCCTAGTTTGCAACCATCGAGAAACTGCAGGAGGACAAGTGCTTAACATTTCTCAGTCTTCTCTGCAAAAGCCTTCCCTGGGTCAGTTTTCTCCCAGCCAGGCTCAGTTCTGGCCTCCAAGGTGAGCTGGACAAAGACAGCTCAAGGAGCAGAACATTTGCAGGGGGGAACCGCAAATGGGAAGAGTGTTATGCATCCTTCTTCCCTGCAAATGCCTCTTGTCCCGCCACAGTAAGCAAACACAGAGTTGGAAGCCTAGTGTTATCTTTGTGTAGCTTCCTGAGTATCACTCTAATACAGCAGCTGTAGTCACTGGTTTAGGAGAGAGAGCTACACAGCTGCAATCATACAGCTCTGGTCTTTCCCAGGTTGGAAAGAGTACTATGGTGATCCTTTCAGCTAGAAAAAAAAATCAGCAGAAGAGCTTATTCATGTATCTGGAGACAAGACAAGTGGCATCTTAATATAATCTTGCTAAATCACCAACATAAACCGAAGTCAACAGAATTAAATGTATATTGTCCTGTAATAAAGACAAATTGTGTGTTTGGGTTTTTTAGAAGTATTAAGATAAAAAATGCAGAGTCCATTAAATTGAAGACTTGTGATTAAGGATGGGCACAAACCGGGGAAATGGCGGTTCATGGGGTCTCACAAACAATGAGCCACAAACCCTCACAAACCTTCCCATTTAACGAACCGGTTCATAGTTCATAGTTTGTGAAGTTCAAGGCACAGTAGAACTGTGGACTAGAGGCATCAAACTTGCAATGGACCTCCCCAGGACGCCCCTCTAGCTGCCCTCCAAGTTGTATGCAGATTGGCTTGGGTGCGGGGAATATCCTAGGGTCCTATGAGCAAAAGGGGAGGAGTGAGTCGTACTGCTAGAGGCACCCAACTTGCAGTGGACCTCCGTGGAACGCCCCTCTACCTGCCATCCAAGTTGTGTGCAGATTGGCTTTTTTTTTGGGGGGGGAGGTGATACTAGAGTCCAATGTGCAAAAGGGGAAGGAATGTGTCAAACAGCCCCCCATAAGATAGAAGCAACCAACACATAGTGGGCTGAGTAGTGGCTCCCCAAAGCAGGTGCCCCCAGGAAAGCACTCTCTTAGCAAATCACAGTGGCCACAGGTTCAGGTGGGTCGCTCCCTGCAACTTAGAGGCTTAGAGCAGAATGGGAGCTTTCTGGTTGGCAGTCAGACCTGCCTATCAAGCTTTGGAGGTCCACTAATGGTGATTTCAGAGCAGCAAGTCCATCCCGCACATTGCCTGGGCAATTGATTCATAGGCGCCACCATGTCTGGCCACCTAACCGCTTCCACAAACTTCACAAAGCTCCTTGAAAAAAGGTTCAGTTCATGAGTGACTTCATCGTATGAACCGCTGCTCACAAACCACAAACTGGACCCAGTTTGTGATGACTTTCAGTTCATAATTTGGTTCATGCCCATCCCTACTTGTGGTAGAGGAACACAGTAATTCCAACAAATCACATTCACAAATAGAATAACACAAGTGGGGACCCGCGATACTCATGGAGGGAATCCCCCCCCCACAGCTGCCAATTCCCTTCTTATGGCTCAGTGGGGGGTGGGAGACTGGTGGGAGGGGAATCCCTTCCCCCTGTTGCCAAACAGCTCCAGCCCACTCTATCTCCTGTTGAGCCCTGTGGCCGAGCTGGAGCAACTGCTGGCATGCTCCTCTGCTGCCAGGCTTGGAGCAGCAGCCAGCGTCCTCCACTGCTGCAGCCAGGTCAAAGCAGCTGCTGGCAGGGCTCCTGGGCTGTTCCATAGCTGCCAGGTCCAGTGAGGCTGCCCTAGCTGTGCCTCCATCGCTGAACCCAGCACCACTTCTCTGTACCGCAGGTGAACGCCTGAGGTAAGCATATTCTCTGCACTTGTCTTTTTAAAAAATTTCAGATTTTTCTGCAAACCTGGAGAGTTCCCCAATTTTGCTGGAAAGTCTAGTTAACCACCAGGTGGCCCCGATCAGCTGATTTAGCTATCCACAGATGGGAGCCACAGGTGGCTAATAGTTTATAGCTTCATTAAATAGATGTTAGGGTCTCTTTTTGAGTAAATATTAAATATCACAAAAGTCTAAATTTAACAACATAGTCAACGTAAAATCTGACTTTCTGCATCAGGTCAAAAGGTCTGCCTACTCTGGCCTGAATAGTTTAAATACCACTTCTACCTCAAACATTAAATATACAGATGTTTATGCATAACTAATTACATTATTAATTCATACTAAATATTTATTAACTGAAACATGGATTCACATAAACACTCTGGATGCTGCTGTCAGGTCTCCAGTTAATTCACTCTCCACACACACTATTGGCAATGTAATGCTTTATTAGAGATACGATGCTGTGGGTTCAAGAACTTTTGTTAGGACTGAAGAAATCCGTGGGAAATTACAAGATATAGGTAAAAGCATAAAATTCCACATTCATCCACGTTACACCTACCCCTGGCATTACTATGGCAACACAGACAGATATATGGTGCCCTATCTAAACGAGGCTGGCAGAGAGATTCTACAAGGTCAGTCCCACAGGAACCAACTTGGGGCGCATCTTCAGGAAAGTTACGGCCTCTACTCCCTTGCACTCCAACTACACACACACCCCTTAGGAATTCAAAATGACAAGTGAAGGTGAAAAGAAATAGAACTTAAGAGAAATTGAACGTTAGGCCTGAGCT